CTGCAGGCTCTAGGGGAGTAACTTTCCTTGTCTCTTCCAGCTTCTAGTGTTGCTGGCACTCCTTGGTCTTCCTTGGCTTGTAGACACAGCCCTCCAGTCTCTGTCGTCACATGGCCTTGTCCCTGTGTCTGTCTCCCCTCTTCTTATAAGGACACCAGTCATATTGGATCAGAGCCCAGGCTCCTCCAGTATGATCTCATCTTTTTTGTGTTTCTTTCTCTTTTTAAAAAAATTTGGGGGGGCAGGTAATAAGGTTTGTTTATTTATTTTTAATGGAGGGACTGGGGATTGAACCGAGGACCTTGTACATGCTAAGCACATGCTCTGCCACTGGGATTTACCCTTCCCCTGATCTCATCTTGATTTGATTACATCTATAAAGACACTGTCTCCAAATCAGGTCACTTTCACAGGTACTGGAGGACAGAACTCCAACATATCCTTCTAGGGGTCACAATTCATCCCCCAACCTCAGGGTTAAAGTTGATCTTATCCATACAGACATCTGCCTGCTCCAAAACCATTTCTTAAACACCAAAAATGTAAAGACTTTTTCTGAACTCCTAATTCTATACCTGTTCATGTGTATGCACCACGTTGCCCTGACTGCTGCACCTTCATAGTAAGTTTTGAAACCTGGTAATGTGAGCCCTCCAACTTTGTTGTTTTTTCACTTTTTTATTTTTTCAGGGGGAAGTAATTAGTTTTTTTAAATTATTTATTTTTAGAGGCGGGACTGGGGATTGAACTCAGAACCTCAAGCATGTTAGACATGCGCTCTACCACCAATTTATACCCTCCCCCTCCAACTTTGTTCTTTTTCAAAATTGTTTTAGATATTCCAGGTCCTTTGCATTTCTATATATTTTGAGGATCTGCTTATGAATTTCTACAGAAAAGCATGCTGGGATTTGTGGTAGGGCTTGCATTGAATTCATAGATCACTTTGGGGAGTGTTACCATTTGGAGGCAGAATTCAAAGATGGCCCCAAGTGTCCTGCCTCCCAGCGTACAAACCTATATCATCCTCTCCCTTTGAGGCAGAGTAGAACCTCTGCATATGATGGGACCACACTCCCATAGTTAAGTTACTAATCAGCTGACTTTGAGTTCATCAGAAGGTAGAGCCTCTGGGTGAGCTGCCCTAATCAGGTGAGCTCTTAACTGAGACTGGACCCTTCCTAAAGAGGGAGATTTGAAGCATGAAAGGAGGTATGGTGGGCACCAGATAGCAGGTGGCCTCTAGGAAGTGAGAGCATTCCCTGGCCAACAGCCAATGAGGAAACAGAGACCTCAGTCCTACAGTCACAAGGAACCTGAATTTTACCAAGAAGCTCATAAGCTTGGGAGAGGACCCTGAGCCTCAGATGAGAAGGCAGCCCAGCCGATCCTGATGGCAGCCTCATGAGATCCTGAGCAGAGGACCTAGTTACATCATGCCCAGACTTCTGAACTACAGAAACCATCAGATGATAAATGTTTTGTTTTGTTTTGTTTTCACATAGATCCTGTCTCTCATGTTTATTTCAATCTACTAGTTTTTGTTGCCATTGCAAATGAAATATTTATTCACATTCCATTTCTTGGTGCTTTTCACTAGAGCAGAAAAAGCTGGGTTTTTGTTTTTGTTTAACATGCATCATATTCAGTCACATCTAGCCACTTTACATTCCACCTGTGGCAGAATTCTGGTGCCCCAATCTTGGCAGCATCCCTGCTGTCTGATATGACAGGGTGCTCCCAGCTCATCCTGTACACTTGCCGGCCTGGCCTGGGACCAGCCACATCTCCAAGAGGCACTGGGTCTTACTGGTAGGAAATGGTCTTTAGGGACCATAATCTGGGGTCTGCAGGTGGAAACGAGTGTTGCTTTAAACCACTGAGTTTTTGTTAGTCAGATGGCAATAGAAACCTAATGCAGTCATCCTGACAGTATTGAGTCTTTCGATCCATGAACATGGAATGTCTTTCTGTCTATGTAAGTATTCTTTAATTGTACAATACCACTTGTATGAAATTTGCAGAGGAGGTAAATATACGCAGACAGAAAGTAGATTAGTGGTTGCCATGAGCTGGTGCAGGGTGGTAGGGGGCATAAGGAGAGACTAGTTAATGGGTACAGGGTCTCCTTTTAAGGTGATAAAAATATTCTGGGAGTAGACACAGGTGCTGGTTGCACAATACTGTGAATGTACTAAATGCCGCTGAAATGTGCATGTTTAAATGGTTAATGGTTATTTTTATGTTACGTCAATTTTTCCTCAGTTGAAAAAAAATTAAAAATAAAAAACAAAATCCCACACTGAGATACCACATGTCCCAGCTCAGGTTGCATATGTCCCCACATGGTGAGTGGCGGTAGTACCTGTGGGCATAGCGCAGGGGAGCCAGGACTCTCTCACCTGGTGGTGGGGCTGCCAAATGGGGGAGAGCACTGGGGAGGGGAATTTGCCAATATCTGGAAAATTCTTTCTGTGGCTTAAAGAAAACGAGGGGGCTCTGCGTGCACAGATATGGAGAGACACGTAGGAGATTTAGATGTATTGCTAAGTGACAAATGCAGTGACCCAGGCACTACCTCTGACCTTCCTCCTTTCCTCTCTTTCTCCTTCCTCCTTCCCTCCGTTTCAGCCCTGTTCACCTCCAAGGAGTGCACCAGTGTCTTCACACCTGCTATTCTCACTGCCTGGAACAACCCTCCCCCACTCTGGAAAGCCTGACTTCTTGTCACTCCTGTTGGCTTTAATGTCACCATGCAAAAAAGGCCTCTTTATCTTGCTTGTACATTTTTTGTTTCTCTATTTGTGATTTACATCCACAATCATGCACACCCACCCACCCAGATGGGAACACATGCATATAGACACACATGTGCACATCTCTGTACACTGGTCCCTAGAAACACTGGTGACCACTGACTGACCTGATGACCTCCTGGAGTCCCAGAGCATCAGATAATACCCATCCCCACAGCTACCAACTTTTCTCTGCACCCACCCAACCTCTCTTCTAAACTCCACATTCATGTGGATTCAAGGTCCCAAGGAGAGGGTCCCCAGGGGGAGGTACAGCTCTGGTAGAGTGTGTGCTTAGCATGCACAAGGTCCTGGGTTCAATCTCCAGTACCTCCATTAAAAAATAATAAAATAAATAAACCTAATTACCTCCCCCTTCAAAATAAAGTAGCAAAACTAAACCAAGGAGAGGGCCCCTAGAGCTAGACAGTCCCTCCTGGCAGAAGCTCTGGCCTGTGCTGGCCTCTAGGCATGAGGCAGGATGCCCTAGACCACCTAGTGCTGGCAGCCAAGCAGAACATCTGCCCCACCACAGCCCTTCCTTAGGATCAGAGGCTCCTCCCTTGGGCCCCCCCCCCAGGAGTGTCTTTTCTGTCCCTTCAATGGCCACAAGGAAGTGGATCTTCTTCCCTGACAGTCCCCCAGCCCCTCGACCCTGATGCGAAATGGCTCCCTTCCTCCCAGCCTGACCTACCAGCGACTCAGGGTTGCTTTTAAACGCCAGGCCCCTTCCCTGCCAGAACCGACAATTGGGCTTCAAGGGGCTTGTTTTCCAGAAATTGTCTGCCACTGGGTGAGCCGCCTGAGGGGCTCCCTTCACCAGGAAGCCTGCTCTTTGGTGGCTTCTGAAAGAGGGCAGCAGGAGGTTGGCACAGGCCAGATGATCCCTTCTCCAGGTTTCCTGGAACCCAACAAAAGGCCCCATTGAGGTCCTCAGACTTGTCCCCAACATCCAGGACCACAGGTGAAGCTTGGCCACCCCTCTCTGCTATGCCCCAGGTGCTCTGGCATCCCATCCCCTCTCCCACATGACCACAAATGGTCCTGCCCTAGATGCATGGTGAGGGAGCTGGAGTGAGAGCTCTTATCTGCCAGACAGGCCTCCCTGGGCCCCAGGTGAACAGGACACAGGGCCCTGCCCACAGGAGGAGGAGGGCACAGGAGCTGCTGTACCCAGCAGGGCCCACCACCGTCAGATCTGCACATTTGCTAGGGAGGTGGGGCTACACTCAGAGCTGGGGTGCACCCCGCCAGCCAGGGCCTGTCCCCTGTCCCCTGAGCTAGGTGTCAGGCAAGGGGAACTGGGGGAGCTGACTGCTGAGGTGGGGGCAGGAGGCAGGGGCATGCACCTTCAGGCCAGATTCCCCATGTGGGGCTGTGACAGTGCCCAGTTCCTGGGCAGTCTGAGCAGAGCCAGCCTAGGTGAGGTGAGCAAGCAGTGAGTACAGGGCAAACACCATGCCTTCCTGGGCTGTCACCGGGGAGAGATGCTGTGGTGGGGATATCGGGTGGCTGGGAGCCACAGGACAGCCATGGCCCTTCTGGAACAGGCAGCTCGGAGACACAAAAGGAGCCCAGGGGCCCGGGAGGGAGGCCCGAGGAGGAATGTGTCTCCTACCCACAGTGATGAACTGCACCACTGTGCCCGCGCCCCTGTGAGGACCGGCTGCCTTGCAGATGCCCCCTCCTCCCTCCACAGACTCAGTTTCCCATCCAGTCCCCTTTCACCCTCCCACCCCTGCCAAAAACAGTTTCTTGGAAGACACAAAGAGCAGAAACATCATATCATTCCATTTATGCGAAACTTCCA